CTTAGTCTTAGTAAATAATAAAGTAGCTAAACTAAGAGATAATAATAGATTTTATAAATTAAAATATATTATTAAGGCTAAGGACTTTACTATTAAAAGGTAAAGATAACTAATTAAGAGGTACTTAATTTACTAAAAAAGATAAAGAGCTTCCTATAATACCTAGGTTAAGGAGCTAAAATTATCTTACTAGCTTATAAAGGATTCTTAATATAAATAAGACCGCTTAACTAAGGCTACTAAGGCTCCCCTTTTAGCGCTCTTAGTACCCGCTTAAAAAAAGGCGCTCTTAGCTACGCCCCTTAAAACGCCCTTAGTAACGCCTATTAACCTAGCTATATAGCTAGTTATCCATTTACTAGGAAAACTATAGAGCCTACCGCTTATAACTAACGACGCTATAGCGCTTAAGGAAGCCGCTAGTTACTACTTAAAACGCCTAGCCGCTATTAAAGCCCGCTTTAAGTAGCTCGACTAATAAGAGCCCTTAAGAGCTATATATAGACTTTAAAGAAACGAATATACTACCGGCCCTTTACTAACTATTTTATAAAGAGACACGCCTTTCTTTTATATAAGATTTTAAAGAAATCGACTTATAAGTAAAGAGCTTATAAGATAAATAAAAGATTATTTAACTAATACTTATAGGAATTAGATTAATACGCTACTATAGATAATAGTTTTTTCTTAAAGGTAGGTAATTTAATATAAAAAGAGCGCTATAAGGACTAGCCCTATACTACTTATATTAGCTATAGTAAGGAATATATTATAGCCCTTACTAAGGATATAGATATAAGATAGTCTGGACCTTTAAAGCGCTATATATAAGAGTAGCGCTATAATAGTCCTCCTTAATATAAATTATCCCTTTTATAACCTTTATATTTAACCCTTAGTATACTACTACTATTATAATAGCTAAGTAAAACTTAGATTTTAAAGCTCTATATAATAGCTAGTAGCTTAAATAGCTAGAAAACACTAAATTAATCTATCGCGATATTAAAATATAGCTTTAATTACTATTAAAATATACCCTCTTTACTATAAGAAGGGTACTAAAAGGAGGGTATACTATAAGCTAAGTAGCTAATATTAATAAGTAATAGTCTATAAAGGATAAAGGATTCCCTTAGGAGTAGTAGGAAAAATAAGTAAGTTTATAAGTATCCTTTATAATACTATTCCTTTAATATATTTTAGCCCCTTATATACTTATAATAAATTCTAAACGAAATCCTACCCTATACTTCTTTAACCGCTCTTTCTACTTATACTAGTAATTACCTAATCCTACGCCTATTACGTATACCTTTCTATATTAATATAAAGAAAGAAAAAGGATATTAATAGCTTTATAAATCCTTTAATAATCTTTATATAAAGATAGGAGTAATAGAGCTTATTATAGCTATTATAAATAAGGAAGTAATATTAAAAAACGCCGTTCTTAGGGTTTTCCCTTTTATATAGTAATAGATATATTTATTTTATATTAATAGTAATATTTAGGATTAAGTCTAGCTATATTAAAGAGACTTAGTATATTAGTAATAGTTATAAAACCCCTATTAATATAAATATCCCTTTAAAAGTAAAGGTTATCCTTACTTTAAAAGCTATTAAATATAAAGCTATTAAATAAAAAGATACTATTATAGCTATATTAAACCTTAACTTAAATAAGGAAGTTAAATATAGCTATAAAGGTATACTTTTTACTTAAAAGCGCGTTATCTATAAAGAAAATAAGGTAAATTTCTTTAAGGTATAAAAGTAGCTTAATAAAATCTTTAGTTAATACTAAGGCTATATTATAACTTATATCTTTAATAAGTATATACTATAGTAAGAGTAATAAGCGTAATATTATATTAGCTAGTATTATAACTTTAAGTAATAAGTAAAGCGCTTAGTTAAGACTACTTATAAAGATATAAAGTTATATTTACTTATAAGTATATTTAATCTCTTATAGCTTTATTTAAATAATTAAAATAGTAAGATATTATATATATAAATAGCTACTTAGTAAAGAATATAATAAAAGCGTTTTTTTCCTTAGCTAGTTATCTTAGCCTAAGGACCTTAATATTATAGTAATATATAAAGCGGCTAATATTATTACTAAATAATATAAGCTTATTAAGGCCGCGATACCTTTATTAATATAAGAGCTATAGATATTATAGCCTTATAATAAGCGATTTATAAGGTAATTTAAGTTACCTTATACTAATATAATTCTTTAATGCCTCTAAGTTAAGTTAAAGCTTAAAAAGTTTAATATTTTAATATAATAATAGCTTAAGAAGCTATTTATAAAGACCCCCCCCCTTAATAGTAGTTTTTATATTAATTACTACCTTTAAGAAGCTATTACTATAAATCCGCGATCTTAATATTATTATAGTTATTCTTATAAAAAGAGATATAAGAAGTATATATAAAATATATAAAGGTAATATAGGCAAAGTAAAGTTATTTAATTCTTATAAAGGCAAGAAGTATAGTAAGGGAATAATTATTATATTGCTTTTATTATCTTTCTTTCCTTTATCTAACGCCCCTCTTTATATCCCTCTAGTAATTAATTTATAAAGAAGATCTTACTTAAAGAAGCTACTAATATCCTCTTAACTATCGAGCTTTTTACCGGTTTTTCCCCTTTATTCTAGCCGTTGCTAGTATATCCGTCTTATATCTTACTACCTCTATAAGAAGCTATCGCTACTTCTACTTCCCCGCTTTACGTTAGCTACCTAGCTTATAGCATACCCCCTTTCTAGTACCCTTTTCCTACTAAAAGTCGGGTTTTTTATAAATCTATAACTAATTTATTAAAATAGGTAGAAAGACTAAAACTTTATAGCTAAAGAGCTAAGCTATAATAGACTTATAAAGTACTATAAGTTTTTCTTTTTCTAATAATAAATAAGTTATATTACTTTTTAGTTTTCCTATAGTAAAAATAAAATACTAAATAAATAGTTTAAAAAATTTATATAGTACTATTTATCTTTATATAGCTTTTAGTACTTAAAAGTACTTTCTATTTACTATTTTATCTATTAAATAGAAAGATAATAGGATATTCTTAAATATCTTTTTAATAAGGAGAAAAGTTTATTGCTTAATAACTTAAGAGAAAAAGCTAGTTATAAGTCTTTAACTACTTTATTAGTAGTATATCCTATAAAAAAGCTTATTTACTGCTTAGCTTACTTTATTAAAGTTTTTTTAATATTAATTTAATACTTTTTAAAGTGTTAAGGCTTACTAGGTAAAGTAGTAGAAAGTACTAATAAAATACTTAAGTTAGCTTTAAGCTTTTATATAAGTATAATTAGATATAATATATATAAAAAGTAAATTTTAATACTAACTTAAGCTATTTTACTAATAGTATTCTAGGAGCTACTAGGCATAACTATTTTTCTTATATTTATTATTTAGTGTTTTAAAGCTTGCGTTTTAGTAAGAAAGGGTGCTAGAAGGGGGGTATGCTGTAAGCTAGGTGGCTGACGTTACCCCTACCCTCTTCTCTATACCTCCTTTTAGCTCCTTCTTCCTTCTTCTATACTAGGTGTTTTTTAGCTTCCTAGGTTCCTTCTTACTAAGGGATATCTCCGAGAATGCGAAATCAGGCCACGCTTCGCGATAACTTTTCCCTTCTTTTCTAGCTATTACTAGTAAACCTATCTTATCTCTCGCTACTTCTATAAGAAGCTATTACTACTTCTGCTTCCCCTCTCTCCCCTACCCTCCTTTCTATACCTCTTTTTAGCTCCTTCTTCCTTTTTCTATACCGGTTATTTTTAGCTTCTTAGATCCCTCTTGCCTAGGGATATCTTCGAGAACTGCGAAATCAGGCCACGCTTCGCGATAAGAATACACTATTATAACGCCGGGTTTAGCAGCACCCCTATCGGGTGAGGCGCCCTCGCCCGTGTTAGCGACCGTATAAGTAGAATTGTTATTTAGCATCTTACTAAAGATTATGTCTGCAAAATAGAAGGGGCGACGATTTTCCCTCCAGCTTAGACAGATGCATCGGTTAACTCCCCAGCTCTGGGCCACCGGCAGCACTATTACTCGCCGCTCTAGGGACATGACTCCGCGGCGCGCATCTCCCTAACGATTCTTGTCTTCTAGGAGTCTATGCCTCTAAGTTTTCGTAATTAAGAGTCGCTCACGTCTCCCCCGCTCGCCTACAGAACAAAGCTTACAAGTTTAAGACCAAATTTGCTAGCAAAGGCTTTCTACAGTGGTTTATATATCTCTTTATTTCTTTTAGGACTTGATATATTGTATTCTATAGCCGCGTCAAGCAGTCTCATATAGCTTTTCAGTCGAGTCGATCCATAAGGGAACCACTCTATCGCAAAATCCCATAAACTTCCAAAAGCCAACTGCATACTCTTTGTTACCAAGTGGGTCGGTAACTCGCTCAGGGAACGCGATTCCTGCCCCAAACAACCCCGGCACATACTGCGATCCCTTTTCCGCGCTGAAAAACCGTCCTGTCAACCCATCATGCTCCAGATTAAGGGGTTCTTTCTTGCCGGTTGCTGTAAGCCTGGGTAGTGGATCTCGTTGATATCCAACAGCTTGTACGACATGCGTGCAGCTCGGCAATTCGGCACGGTAAACAGGCTCTTCCTCGGTTGCTGGTGTCCAGAACCTGGTGATAACCTTACTAACCGGGCTGGAGATGAAAACATCGTCATCGAGGTTCTGGTGCGCCCATTCCGCAGCTCGGCCTTTGAGGCCCGTGTTGTCGCGGAGAATCCAGCCATTTTTGTATTCAGCGTAGCTTAGAGTCTTCTGTCGAGTAAACCACTTGACACGCAGGTTCGGGTGTGTAGTTGAGGCGAGAAGGAAAAGATTCATGAGGACAAGTATGGCAGAGTGGGACGCCCCGACGACAGCAATTGTTGTCTGGATTCCTTGAGGTAAAGTTCTGGATAAAAGCTGTAGGTTCAGGGCCGTGTCTAGATGGATACCTGATATGCCAGGAGAGTATGAGGATAAAACGGGCCAGAGAGGCTCGACGGGGCTCGACCCTGTGCACAATATCAGGCGTCGGGTTACTATACTCTCCTTGCCGTCCAATGTGACGGTCCAGAGATTGGAGCACTAGCCGGACAGTGCGCCTCGGTTAGCTTACTGTTCTCCTGGTAATACATTTACAACAACAGGAGGCAAACCTTGTCGAGATTGGCAGAGGTTACTCGCCCCTGATGGCTGTGCACGTCATCGCGGACCCTCAAGCCGTTTGTAAGCATTAAGCATAAGTCTGCAGCCTTGCCCAGCACGCAGCCTTGATCCTGAGGCAGATTGTTCAGCGTTGTGAAGGCATTAGGCACCGGTGCGTTTTCGACAATGCGTCGGAATGGCGCGAGAGCGGTAGCAAACTTGACAAACAATTCAACCTTGGTGTTGCTGGGGACTTGGCGGTAGCAAGCGTTGACGCGGCCAGCGCGAAAGAGAGGATCGATCCAGAGGTGCTTGGAGGCACCGCGCTCGAGGAGGTGGCCGAGGACGGCGAGGCCCGATGGACCACCTCCAACGACAACAGAGTCGACGGCGGTACGGAGCATCGCTCGGCGCAAGTCAGACACGGTCTGTTGAGTAAATCTGATTAAAAACCTCGACGGTTGAGGCAGCGAGATAAATTTTACAAGGGTAGCCTAGCCGGTTTCGGAGCCCACTGTTTCGTCGTAGGTAGCCTTCCCTTATCTCGCCATAACTATGTATGTAATAATTTACGGATACTCTTCCTGAAAAAGATAGGCAGGCAGACTCGGTCTGTACGGTATCTCGAATGCGGGCCGCACCTTGATAGTAACGCTACTTCGGAATCGGCGGCTCGGTTCTAACGATAAGCACGAGCCCGGTCGGCTGATAAAGCTGCAGCATAAAGACCGGGCGGGAGGGGCGCCTATCGATGCGACTCGGATGCCTTGATGCTCCTCCTCCGCCTCTGCCGCAGCGCTTGTACTGATACCAAAACATGCAGCAGTCCGCCCGGTGAGACAGCCCGGTCCCAAGACATGGTGTGGGGCAGGAGCGACTAAAATGACCCCGCCTCGTGATTTCCGGGGTTGAAAAGGAGCGGCGTTTCCACTTCCCAGCTCTGAGCAGCAATTTCATCCCAAGCTTCGAGGAACCCCTTCACCGCATAGACTACAATACGCACATCTATCCCACCACAATGGCTTCCAAGGTAAACGTCAAACCCCTCGCCTCTCATGGCGGCTCGGATGTGGATTTGGGCGCCCTCGTCACCGGCATCGACGTCGAGCACCTCTCTGGTAAGCCATCATACCCGGCAAGGCCACACGAAAGATTGTGATGATGCGTGAATATGGGAGAATACCCGTGAAATCGGTAACCTCCTCGGTAAGATTCTTTGCTCACTCAATTCAGCAGCGTTTCGTCTAATAACATCATTCTAGATGCCGACTTCGCCCTTCTCCGCAAAGCTCTCTTCACCCACCAAGTACTCATCCTTAGGCACCAATCTCACGTCTCTCCCAAGACTCAGTATGAGCTCACCCAGCGCTTCGACCCCGAGGCTCGGGCTTTATATGGTCATGACAAGACCCCCGACACCAAGCGCTCTATCCTTCACCCGGACCTGAAGACTATCCCATTTCAGCCTCAAGTCCAGGTCATTGGCAACGGCTTCATTCCCTCCTACGAGGGCCTTGAGAACATCAGGCTCCGGCACCCGCACCACAGAACATTTCACCAGACCGTCATTCCCGAAGCGGATGATCTCAGCTACACAAGGTTCTACCGATGGCATATCGACGCTGCGCTGTATCATCTTGCCCCCCCTGTCGCAACCACTCTTCTCGCTGTCAAGCTCCCTTCCACGCGGGCGCAGACGCTGAGATATGATGACGGCACTGGCGACGAATTGACGGTCCCTTTAGGGACCACGGCCTTTGTCAATGGGGAGACCATGTACGACATCCTATCCCCGCAAGACAAAGAATTCGCTCGCGGAACCAAGGTTGAGTATGCGGCCCATCCTTACATATGGATGTCTCCCGCCAAATCTCGCCCGACAGGCCTCGGCATGGTCTCTGAGGGCAAAGAACTCTCCGAGTCAGAGCTCCCTCCAATCGACCCTTCGGCGGTTCAGATCCTGCCCATGTGCTGGAAAAACCCTGTCACAGGTCGCCTAGCACTGCAGATTCACCCGTCCGCTGTTCGACGTCTGCACCTTGCCGACGGGACGATCATGGATGACTTGAAGACGGTCCGAGAGCTTGTGTACCGGCTTCAGAGGCCAGGCATCGCACCGGCCATGGTTTATGCGCACGATTGGCAGGAGGGCGATCTTGTCATTTTCCACAATAGAGGCGTCCTTCACTCTGTGGTTGGCGCTTTCGCCGAGGATGAGATCCGACTATTCAGGCAGTGCAATATTGCCGGTAGCGCTTTGCCCGAGGGCCCTGAGTTTATCTAGGCCGCCCGAGTGTAACTTTGATGAGCTTGACTTCATTTCACTTGCGTACCCGCTGTATTGGGCTTCTGCGCTTGGGTATTGTGCTCCGGAGAACCCGGGATAATTCCCCCACGGCTTCGACGTGCCCCATAGCGCCGGTCGCCGAACGAAGCCGCCAGGTCCCGGGTACCGGCCCCCAAGGAGCTACCGGTACCAAACAGTAGTTACCCAGCTAATTATCGTTCTGACTGATCTTGTGCCATATTGAAGGTGGTGGTTGCCACAGAGGCCGTTCATCACTGTGACAAAAAGCGACCGGGCCCTTATCTAGGGGACGCGGCGCATCCCTGTTGCTTTATTTTATGAGCATTGCTATTCGCACACAACAGACACGGAAAGGACGCAAGTATTATTTACATGCATATATGGCTCCTTTCACTCTATCAGGGCATTAGAGTCCCGTCCCCAAAGTAGGGGGAATCACGTGCCTCGCCGTGTGACTATAAATCTCCTAGACCTGACGCCCCCAACAGACTTAATCCGCATGCGATGCTTTTCAGTTTTCACAACCCAAGATCGGCCCACAAGACCCAAACAAGCTCGCCTTCTTGAATATTGATAACATGGCCGTTCAAATCATATCGGACTTACACCTAGAAGTGCCCAAGGCCTACGACTTTTTCAATATCGTGCCCAGAGCACCGTATCTAGCCCTACTTGGCGACATCGGTAACGTTATCTCACATAGGGAAGAATGCCTCGGGTTCTTTACCAAGCAGCTTGCGCAGTTTTGCCTAGTCCTGTTTGTCCCCGGAAACCACGAGGCCTATCACTCAGACTGGCCGACTACTCTCGACGCCCTTCGTGCCTTTGAGCAGCAGGTCCGGACCGACAACTCGCTTGGGGAGTTTATATTGTTAGACCGTGGTGCATACCACCTGCCAGACACGAAAACCGTCATTCTAGGTTGCAGCCTATTTTCCCTAGTCCCACCTGAGAGCGAAATGGCCGTCAGATTCGGCCTCAACGACTTCTTCTAGATTGACAACTGGGGCGTCAAGGCCCATAATGATGCCCATGCGCGGGACCTCGCTTGGCTGAACTCGCAAGTGGCGGAGCTAGAGCAGACGGGTAGCAAGATCGTCATTTTGACCCATTGGAGTCCGACGCGGTATGCCGACGCGGCCGACCCGAGGCACACGGGCAGCCCCATCACTAGTGGCTTCTCTACCGACCTATCGGAGGAGGGATGCTTCAAGAGCCCAAGCGTTAGGTTTTGGGCATTTGGTCACACACATTATAACTGCGATTTCGAAGTTGACCGTGGACAAGATGCTGGGACGTTGCGACTGTTTGCCAATCAGAGAGGCTACTACTTTGCTCAGTCGGAGGGCTTTGACGGAGGGAAAACGGTGACGATCTGTCACGCTACAATGAGATGCGTAAACGGCATTCTAGGAGCGTTGCTCGAGAATAATTGCATTTGCAACGAGTCGGAGATGGCCCGGACAAAGCTGACCAGACACGCCAGTAGAAAATCGAAGTCTTCCGTCAGCACTGCGAACGCTAGACTAATTATCCCGGGCTCGCGTCGTCGACAGTAAACTCTTGAATATAAGAGCCAAGAGAGACGCGACGTGAGCAAGATTGGCAATGAACAGAGAAGAAAGCCTCAATCAGCAATGAACAGGCAGGCCCAGACGCCGTCTCCCCCATTCTGCGGACCTCTCAGGCTCTCACCGTACTCGACTACATCTTGGAAACAAGGCTCGACAATGGCTCGCGGAGCGTCCGACAACGTGAGAGCTCCAGCTTTGGTTGCCACCTCTAAGAGATCCCGTGCATCCTGGGCATGGGTACAACGCTTAGCTGCCAACGCGCGAAGGCCGCAGGAATGAATCTTGAACACAATCAGATCCGGGGTCGAGATATAGGGCACAAAGCCGGGCACGATCTCTTTAAGCTTCTTTGCATCTGCTGGCATGTACGGGAACTTATGAACAGTTAGAGCAGATCTGAAGAGCGGACGAGCTTGTGACCAATTCGCCCAACGCGACTTGAACATGGGCTCTGGGAGTTAGAAGGGCGCAGACTTGCAATTCCGCAGTGACATCAATTCGGATCCAGTCCCCGGATGGTTATTTGCAGTGGAACATCTGAGTTCTCTAAATGAACGGCGAGTTGGGGAGTGCCAGTAGCCGTTGCTTGACTCCGTGTGGCGCATTATAATGTTGCCGATGAAATCGACATCCTGTTACGCCTCTACGAGAACTATGTGAAGTGCAAAATACCTCCGTTGTTCTACCTTTTGGCACGCGCGTCCAAAGAACGAGTCCGCCGATGACAGCTACCCCGGTATCAGAGTACTCGTCGATTCTTCAATGTCGGCAGCAGTTCACTGGAGCTCTAGTAGACTGAGCATGGAGACTGATGACGAGGCAAATAAAGGTCAAACACAGAGGGATGGAATCGAAGGAAGGATTCATTATGTGCAAAGTAAAAGCGACCAGCAACATGAGATGGCTATATATGTATGTACGCGTGTTCCTGGAATCGAACCTTTAACTTGATGGCGAAGTCTGCAACCATGGCTGGGCCAAATTCTAGGGAAACACCGTGAGGTTCTTCTAGTCATAACAGGACAAGCCCTAGAAGTTCCCTGTTGCAAGCCACGGAACCCAGATCATCAAGCATAACAGCCGCGCCTGGGCGGCAATATGTGCAATGTTAGAGGCGAAGCTCCAAAGTATTGCAACAAAAGGCCCTCGAAATGGTCAACGTCCAGGTCGCCGCACAGCAGGCGCTCAGAATGGTCTATCAAGGTCGCATGAGAGACCGTCATACTCGTCAGGAAGCGCTGCGACGCTGAAAACTGTCTTTGGACCACAATGGTACGGAGGGCCGGCGGCATGCTCTGCACAGGGGACCGAATTGCATGTGCTCCCAAACAAGAGCAACATGACAAAATCTCCCTAGTTCACCCGGGTCCAAGTTGTCCAAGGTCACAAGAGCACGGAGGAAGAGCCGAGGCAGATGAGGGTTGTGTTCTAGCCAACCCAGTAGACGCTAGAGCCGGGTCCAAGTATGGGTTGACTGTACAATTGCTCCAACGCACGCCGAGATCCTTAGCAAGCGAGACCTGCCAAGAAGGGCCCGGGGCCGAGGAACAAAAGCGTGAGAGGCGAACGATTGGCGCCGTGGCCTCGACCTTGATTGGATCTCGGAGTCACGCAGTAGCAGACGATGCGGCCTAACAAAACCTCACGCCAGATCTGGAGGCGCGGCTCGGGCGGCAGAGCACGGAACCGGACGAAGCTACCCGCCGTCGACATGTTGGGTCAGGCTTGGCATGAGACGCTCGAGCCGCGCGCTTGCTGCCGTGGTCGCATGACCAGGTGGTGAAGAAACGTGTCGTGAATCTCGTGATGGATTGGATGCCGTTTCAGTCCAACCGCCCACTGCGACAGTGGCTACGACGCCTTACATTACGTAAAACCCACGCGAGACACCCTCATTCTTTCGTTTCTTGCTTCCCCCTTTACCCACGACACGCGGCAACGCCTAGTCCAAGTCCCATCTGTCTCACGGCCAGCTGTCGAGAAGCATGCCCGTTTCCCCGGAGTCGTTCGTAGCAACCATCGCTCGAACGCTCAACTCGGCTCAGATTCCATGCGTCCTTTGGGGCCACTACTTACTCAGGGTCCATGGCGTGCCTACGGCCATCGCGGTTCGCTTCCCTTGCTCACTGCCCAAAAGTGTTTTTCGGCGTTGGCATGTCATGCTTTCAGTCGATGGACTTTGTTGTACCGGATTGCGCTTTGGCAGAGGCTCGAAAACCCTCAGCCTACTTCCTAACCTTGCCTTATGTCGGGAAGACGAGTCCTGCTCGGAATACCCCAAAATATGGTATCATTCGCCGCCCTCTTTTACTTCTATATCGAGTCTTCGGAATCTTCGCTAGATATATTTCCCCAGTCCTGGGTGCTTTGGTTACGTCTAGATGACTCGCCTCTCTATCTTACTCAAGCCAGCCTTCCACCATAGTACCTCCTTGCCTCCGATAAGGCCTCCCTACCTCCACGTGGCCGCCTGAGCCGGGGACTCGTCGTGCTTAAGGCGCATATTCTCTTATAGGTTTATATGCGTCTCTACGCCCGCGACTCGGGCAAGAAAGTTGGATCCTTTTAGATTGCCATAGTAGGCTATATAGAGCGGTATGTTGACAGAGACGGCTTCCTCGACTTAGAGTAGCTACCTAAGCCGCTGCGAACTGCCTATTGCGATCTTAAGGCGGATGTAAAACCTATAGCGTAGTGGCTATAGGATCTAAGAGAGGCATTAGGAGTATTCCGACGGCCATACTTTATAATCGACGTCAATATCCATAGGGCGATCCGCTATGCTCCGTTGTCTGCGAGCCATACCTCTCTGGGAGGAGTTACCTTTGGAAACGCATTGAGGATATTCCTAGCCGTACAGTGTCACGGCCGATGGCAACAAGATCCGCGTTCCATTCCTTCCGCCTTGTGCTTGTTAGGAGTTTTAAGCAAGAGCCCCAGTCTCAATGCGAAACTGGTGAGCGTCGAGGAGGCTCTCTACCGACAGCTGAACAAGCTGGCCGCCAATGCGGTGGTGAACTCCCTGACCGCGTTGTTGGAGTGTGACGTCGGCACCTTGTATTCCGCGCGATGGCCCTGGCTACTGACACTGATAGAACAGATATTAAAAGAGGCATCGGTAATCCTCATGTCTCTTCCGTTGCCCTGTCAGGACCTCAAGGCCAAGTTTACGGACCAGAGGCTGGGATCGATGGTGGAAGCCTTTGCTAAAGGACATGCCTGCCACAAGCCGCACATAATGCGAGACGTCATAAACCGGACCCCTACGGAAATGGACTACATAAACGGGTTCTTAGTGAGAAGCGGGACAAGACTGGGGATGGAGTGTCCTATCCGCACGTACACCTTTCTCCTCCATGTCCCACAGTATTTTATCGATATAACTCCCCGCTGCAGAGAGGTGAAGGATATGGGCAATGGCACGGTGGATGGCCAGAAGCCGAGGAGAAGGGAGGGTCGATTATCCGGGTTTCGGTGAGGTAGAGTGTGCGAGTAATGGGTAGGGCGGGATCTCGTACCAGAAATAAGGGGAGAAACGACCTGATTCGGTAGGTATACGGCTCTAAGTCCGACGCCAAAGAAGTTATAGAGACCGTGGGTAAGAGTGATGGCGTTACGTGGCCGGTCTATATCTATACCTTCGATCTGATGTATAATACCGTTGTTGGATATATTGAGGATTGCAAGGGCGGCCTTTTTAGAAGGATCCTGAATAGGCCAGCTTCGACAAAAAATTATTCCCACCAAGGAGACATACTAATTGGGAACTTGAATTGGTTCTCGTCAGAGAATGTGGGAGGATGTGAGCTACCTCCAGAGCATCGAATGGCTTCGTGTCTTCCCGGAGTAAGTTTCCGTCGTCATCTCGGGCATCATCGCTATTGCTTTTAAAGCGCTTTAAAGCTGCTACCTGGTCGAATCTAGGCGATACCACGCAGCGATGACGGTCGCGAACTAGGCATGCACCTCGAAGGGTTGATACTCGGTCTAGCGTTCCAGCAAAATCTGTCACACCTCCTTGCATTCGTTGAACTGCGGAATGGTACGCGGGGGAGGGCTGGGGAGTCTTTTTCGCTGAAGCTTTTACTAGGCGACGTTTAGCACAGATCGGGGGGTAAGGAGATCTATCAGCCAGCCTCATAGGGCAGAAAGAATTCTGCGAAGTTGAATAAGGTCGAGCCAAGTTCTGCCTCTAGGTCTTCGTTAAAGTCAAAAAGTTCTTTATAATCTATTAAGAGCGTCATTAAACCAAAGAAGGCCCGCAAGAAGTTATCTCGAGATTCCTCAGTGCGTGCATATTCGTAGGTGAGGCGCACGAGCAAAGGGCGGTTATATCGACGGCTTCTGTTGTCGCTGCTGCTGCTTTTGGGTTCGAAATGGTTGACTATGTGGTAGAATCTGCGACTAGCCTGGGTACGTTG